TTCCTCCATCGGTCATTCACTTGAAGCAAAAACATTTGGCAGGACATAAAACCTTAGCTCAAGAATGTTTTTTTTTTTTCAATATAAGTTTGCACTTCTTAGACATTATAGAAGTCAAAGCCTCCCACATGAAGAGATTTTACATGGCATGAGGAGTTGCTAATGTGTAGGACACGGTTTTCCTTTTTTTGACATGGCAAGGAGGAAACGACCAGCCATAACCAACAGAAAGTCAGAAACTGCTAACGACGTAGGCATGGCATCCAGAAGAAATTGAATCTTAAATAAGCCAAATAGCCCTGCTAAATGCTACTGGTGCCCTAGTCGAAGGACAAACCACCCCCCACGTTATGGCTTTTGCTAGACTAGTTTATGGAGATGAAGAAGTTCCAGTCCCATCGAAGCAATAACGTAGTAAATTACCAATGATAATGATTCATAAACATACAGGAAAAACTCATGCAATTTCTCTGCCTTGGCCAGAATATTTTATGGATTGCTAATTTGTCACACAGAAAGCCTGCGTCATTCAGTGGGCTTGAGTACATGACCCAATATTCATGTGGGCTAAACGTGGTCCATATTATTGTAGTTCGAGCCCATTTGTATCCAACCATAGTGTCATCTGGTCAGCAATTTAACGTACTTTAGGCAGATTGAAAAAATTTGGGCATGAATGTGACTGATTATCAGGTTGTGTGGTTCGAGAATAAAGTTTCATTGACTTTGGACTATAGATTCTACCTAGTTGCATGATCTATTCGTCACCAGTCCTTCCGGGAAGCTGTATTTTTCTAGTGAACTCAAGGTCAAATTATAAGTGATTTGATGAGGGTAAGACATAAACGTGGGCGCAATATTATTGACCATTGCAGATAACTACCATTTGATCACATCAGAGCATTTATTCACAAGCAAAGAAAGGTGAGACCTTTCATCTTAAATTCACATCCCATCTTCATTGATTGATATGAAAAAAAGGCAAATTTGATTTATTGCAGTAACATCTTTTACTTATTCATATTAACATGGAGTAAATTATAAATTAATTTTTTTTATCTGAAAAAATCAATGAATTGTATTCTTTTATTTTAAAAACTAATTATTTAGTTATTATTAAATTCTTATTAGATCTGTTAGATTGATATTTATTACTTAAAAATATTTTTTTAACATGCATGATTATTCACGATAATATATTTATGATGTTTGGAAAAGAGAAGGAGAGTTGAGATTTCAAGAGAAAAATAAAAATTTGTTTTGATACTCGAAGATAGAGAAAATGAATAGATGATGTGTGTAAAGAGAAAAATAATGTATGAAAAAAAAAATAGGATAATTTAAGAATAAAAAATACTACAATAAGTACATCTTATTACCATTCCAATTAAAAACGAAAGAAAATATTAAATTATTGATGAAATTAAAACATTGTATATTAAATAATTAGTTTTTAAAATAAAAATTACTAATTAATTTATTTTTCGAAATAAGAAGGATTAATTTTCAATTTATTATCGTGTAAGGTAGTGACTGACATGTTGCTTAAAACGATAATAAAAAAAAAAAAAGATGTAACTCTATTCGTATCTTAAAGATTAAGAAAGTAGATAACTAACCTTATAGATTGCATGAGGTGAGCCCAGTTGATCCTTGAATATATAAAGTCTATGTCGTAGAGATTTAGAACCAGTCTAATATTATAAAATAGCTGTTCTTTTCACACAGCTTAATCCAACTAATAAGACATCAACACATGACCAAGCAAGCATTACAGTTTTGGTTATCAACATTCTCATTTGTCTCGTCATCAAATAAAAAACAAATCATCAACATTCTCATAATGTTCTCAATCAATCTTTGACTTTGAATTTTCTTTTAATACACCATTTTACCGCAAGTTTTTTTTTTTTTAAATTCTCCTAATTTTTCTCAAATATGATGTTTTCATGTTATTATTTCAAATTTAAATAAAAAAAATTATTGATTCAAAATAATATAATGTATTGACCTGTATTGCTCATTATGGTCAATGTTTAAACTTAAAAACTCAATAAAAATATTTAAAAAGACTGATAAATTTTTAATTCAATGATAAACAAGTTGATTTTTAAATAATTTTTTCACTAATGTAAAATATTATAATTTTATAATCGTATTTATTAAAAAAATTTAAATTTTATTATTTTTATTTTAAATAAAATTAATCATGTCTCTATCATGAAATAGAGATAGATGAGAAAAACAAAGAACGGAGATTCACGAGAAAAACAAAAAATAATAAAAAAGCAAAAACTTTTTTCCTAGAAAAGCATATCTGGAATTTAATGGTTTCCAACTTCCAACTAACTTTTAAAAACAGCAACGTACACGTATCTGGTACGTAATGAAAGTAAAAATGGAAAATTCTACGATGCCTACTTTATGGTGGGGTGATGGGTGCCTTTCAATGCCATTTTCCCTATCTGGCCGAACGTGGCATAATAAATTTGAACGGTCCAGATGGTATATATTATGATGTGTTCTACTACACACGAGCATGTTCTTCAACTCCAATTACCTTTTCTGCCCTCAGTTTAAAAAAAAAACCTAAAAAATAAGTAACCGTCTTTTATCTTATATATTTCAATTTTTGTTTTTTCACATTTACTTTTTACATTCAAAAAGTATATATCTCTCTCTCTCACACACACACACACATACACATATATATATATATATATACACATGAGAGAGAAGATAAAAGGAAAATTTGAAAAACAAAACATGAAAATGTAAGACAATATTTTTTTACTCAGTTTGCACTTTCTCTGGTATAATGTGTAGCTTTTTAACTCAATTCTTTGTGTTGCAACAAAAAGAGCAGTTTTCTTCCGGTATTTAAATATTAGATTATATTAAAAACATATATTTTGCTTTTTTATCCAAGGCTAAGTAAATCATCTAAATAGGCTTGAAAATGCAGTGGTTTTTTTTTTAAAAAAAATAAAAGTATTATGATATTTTAAATCGATAATTATAATTAAGAATGATTAATAAAAATTATTTAAAATACAAATTGCTTATTTCGAGCTTACCCAAATTTATTTAAATTTTTAAAAACGTGAAAATCATTTAAATTTTTAGATAAAAATATTATTGTAAATAAAAACCAACAATGTATTATAAAAATTATGTGCTAAAGAGCTTGAAGGAGTATTTATTTTTCAATTAAAATTATAGTTTATAAATTGATTAAAGAGAAATCTATTAATATATCCTTATATATTATTTAATTTATCGATCGTTTTTTAATATAAAAATTAAACATTTATACGCTTAAATAATTACCCAAGCCTCATAAATATCATTTTAAATCAACCTTAATCATAAAAAATAAATATAAAGGGCACATACGACAATCAATTTTACCTTTTCGACTAAAAATGTGGATTAGAAGGTTATTTGAAGCAACCGAAAGTTTGAGAAACATAATGAACAGTATAGAAAACTAAAAAACCATGAAGTTCAGGGACCAAACTCGATCTTGTCAACGGGGTTTGAATCTGAAGATGTTGCCAAATTTCGTCCAAATGCTGCAGACAACTATAAAAAATCCAAATTTTCTGGTTTTTTTCACCAAAAAACACATTCATACACTCCCTAAAATGTCCTAAACTCAAATCAAACCTCAAAAACCATTTTTAAACGACTATTTTAAACTAAAATTCAATTTAGATCTAAAACATCAAAACCATATTCATATTTCTAAACTTTGGTGAATATATCCTGTAACTTACCCCTCATCCAATTCCTTGTCACAACTTTTTTTGTTAAATGTTTCGTTAACTGTCTTGAGGAAGGATTGTGCCTGCCGCCACCGTCACCGGAACCCCGTTTCTGTTCCCAATTAGTTTTGCTTTTTGCAAATAAGGTTAGTATGGTCAATTCAGTTATAGAGCGAAACTGGTAAAAAATTGCGTGTTACAGGAAACATGATAGTCTTCATCTTTGTTTCCACGTGTCATGCAGGGAGTGGCAAAGGCTTTAGAAGGCATCAATCATACCAACGTAGTGCAGGCACTCTAGAACGACCCAACTCAAAAGACACCCACGAAAACTGTGGTTTTCACCTAGGAGAAGAATCCTATCAAAATCTTTCACATAAAGCGAGAAAACCCTTTTCACATCTTCACTTGTTTTGGCATTTTCTTTCATATATAAATAAATATTTATTTTCATTTTTTGAGCGTATTTACTAACTTTTACTATACCATAATTTGTCTCTTTTATTTAAAATGAGCACTTTGGTTGGTGAGCTACAATCCAGCTGCCTTATATTGACTTGCTTCGGATCATGGAGTGCTCGTTGTTTTGTCTATGATTGCTCTCTTTTCTCCCTTTTTTTGGATTCTGGATCTTTCTTTAAGATATCTCCCTAAATGTGAATACTTGTGAAGGATAGCAAGAGCTGTGTTCTTTTTGTCTCTTTTTATTTTACAGGGAAAGGTGAGTAGCTTGTTGTCTCCTTTTGTTGTTTATCTAGCAAAATGGGTATCAAATTTTGGTGCTTTAGAAGACTTTGTTTATCATCTTTGTTTCTTGATGGGCTTATTAACCTAGTAGCACTGTTTAAGAAGAAGGGTTTCTTTAAAGAAGAATAAGGAGCTTATTGCAGGAAAAAAAAAAAAACTTTAGGGTTCATGTGTAGGAATTATTTCATTGACTTAGGTGCTTTGTGAAGAAAAATGGCCTCTTTTTGGCATGTATGATTTTATTGACATGTAAGCATTGAATAATTTAATCAGTTTTGGAAGTGAATAAATTATTTTACTTCATAGGTTAAGGTTTTGCATCTATTAATACCATTGGTGATTTTATGAGAACTTGGAAGTGTTTCAAGTTTATAAACATGTTTGGTTTCTGTACCTTTGTTTAACTGTGACCTTAATTCTGGTGGCATTGTTTTAACGCGAATACAATTATGGATATGCAGCTAGGCAATTGGTCCTTTAGGAGCTATGAAGTGTTTTTACTTCTCCAATAGAGAGAAAAATGAAGAACCAAAGACTGTAACAAAATCTGCTTCTGTCCAATCCACTTCGTCTACTTCAATGTCGATGTCAACTGATCGTGACCTGAGGAAATCTGGATCTGAGCTCAATTCTCAGAATGCATCAGATTTTAGCACAGAATCGTCCAGAAAGAACTCTTTTGCGAACTCGTTTGCTGGTTTGTCTCAAAGACAGAGCAATCTTAGAGCCTTCACATTCTCAGAACTGAAGACGGCAACAAAGAATTTCAGCCGCTCTCTCATGGTTGGGGAGGGTGGATTTGGTGGCGTGTATAGGGGAGTAATACGGAGCGTGGAAGATTCAAGTAAGAAGATCGATATCGCTGTCAAACAACTGAGCAGAAGAGGGCTCCAGGCAAGCTTTCCTATTTTCCTCCATGCTTTGTTTGCTACAAATCATTCTCATCCTTTACTGTTTGGGAAGAAGTCCGAGATGAGGAAATTGTTAACAAGACAAAATTTCATCGTCTTTAGATTAATGCCTTTAGATGGTTGTCTCTTTAGATTATTCCCTTGGCAATATCTTAGCACTTAAAAATCTGATACACTCTGAATTTAACTAAGAAGATTGTAATTAGAAGAGAGAAAGTTGTTGACTTCAGATTCTTAGTGCTAAGATTTCGCTAAGGGTAAATTCATCTTGTTCACAGGGGCACAAGGAATGGGTGACTGAGGTAAATGTTCTAGGGATTGCTGAACATCCAAATCTTGTCAAATTAGTGGGTTACTGTGCTGAGGACGATGAACGGGGAATCCAGCGCCTTCTAGTATATGAATTTATGCCCAACAGAAGTGTGCAGGATCACTTGTCAAATAAATTTCAGAAAGTTCTTCCTTGGGCCACAAGAGTAAAAATTGCCCAGGATGCTGCTCGAGGCTTAGCATACCTCCACGAAGGAATGGATTTTCAGGTATTTTTAACTTTACTTGCTAGGATATTGTTGTAACAGGGCTCGGTATCACTGAGCTACTGTGAACCCTCCCACGCTCCTTCAGAGATACAGGCTGGGTTTGGATCATCATAGACATACTACTGTAACAGGGCTCGCCATTTCCTTTCCTTGGTGCAGATTATTTTCAGAGATTTCAAGTCTTCTAATATACTACTGGATGACCAATGGAATGCAAAGCTATCAGACTTTGGGTTGGCCAGACTGGGGCCTTCAGATGGGTTGAGCCATGTTTCAACTGCGGTATGTTTATGGTTACTCAAAATGATCCTTAAATCATGTCAAACAAACAGTTCTGTCATCAATCAGTAGCATGAGAAGCCAAACTTTGCTCTCATTTGCTGAATTGATAAGGCTCTTTATTACAGCCATCTAGGGTCTTTGAGACTCTGTCAATGCATCTTTATAACCTACTACTATGATCAGTTTGTAGACCTAAAGAAACTGAGGATCCAATTTATCTGATTTGGAAACAGGTGGTGGGAACCATAGGATATGCAGCTCCTGAATATATTCGAACTGGGCATCTCACGTCTAAAAGTGATGTGTGGGGCTTCGGGGTTTTTCTCTACGAACTGATAACAGGTAGACGTCCTTTGGATCGGAACCGACCAAAGAATGAACAAAAACTCTTGGAATGGGTCAGGCCGCACCTCTCTGATGTAAGAAAGTTCAGGTTGCTCTTGGACCCAAGGCTCGAGGGAAAATATAACATCAAGGCTGCCCAAAAGCTTGCTGCTGTAGCAAACCGGTGCTTGGTACGGCAGGCTAAAACACGCCCCAAAATGAGCGAAATCATGGACATGATCGACAAGATTGTTGATACATTAGACAATGGAAGTCCGTTACTCCCTATGAAGAGTTTGGCCCCAGAAGATGCTCCTGATATATCTATGAAAAGGAGGTTTGTGGATTCAATTATTGGAGATCAGAAAGGATGTTGGTCGGCGTGGAGAACATGGAGACCTAAGCTACTGAGGGCGCGCTGAAAAAAAAAAAAAAACGGAGAACTAGGCAATTCAGTCTTGCTTCGATGAAGTCCCTTTTTGTTACATGTGTAAGTAAATTACCTTGTTCTACCTGTGTATCACGAGATACAATTGTAAAGGTTAAACAACATAGATGAATTTGCGCACAGGTTTTCTTTGCTGTTACAAGTTATAGAATGCAATACACTAGGTCATGTGTTTTGTTTTTACATAATTCATTGATTGATGGGCTCTGTAGAAATGAATAATACCATGCAAGCACACATAGACAGAGGAGATTATAGCCAACCTTGAATGCCCATTTATACAGGAAAGGTGATATGCTTTTATCAAGGAACCAAAGCCATCTTGGCTTTGTCTTTCTTATAATTTATAAAATATCATAATTGTATAAATATGTATTAGAACCTATTGTAGATCTCCCAACGTCAAGACGGCTAGCAATACAAGCAACGGCCGCAACTTTACTCAGTTTTGCTGTTGTAGTTAATTTTATAGAGAATTCTGTAGTTGTAGGAACTTTATCTTACTGTTGATATTCGTTTATCAGACATAGTATCCTATGTATAAATAGGTTCTGATGCAACTAATAAGTGAAAACTATACTAATAAGTGAATGCCCAAAAATGGCTCCCTCTCAGCGAGAACCATCTTCGACTTCTGCTTTGCCCCCCAACAAGGAGATCTCGCCCACCTGATCGATAGGGTTCTTCAACCATGATTGAGAATGCGCAAGTGCGACCTGCCGCAACTGGCACCGCTAAGCCATCCTAACACATTGATGGTACCTTAGAGTAATTTACCCTAAAAAGACCATTGTTCATGCTATAGATGCCATGTCAATTGCATTAACGATAGTAATTGTTAAGGAGATAATTAAATATTATTGATTATTTCCTGATAAATAAAAGAAGAAATCAAAGAATTAGAAAAACCTTAGCAGACAATAATTAATTAATAGCATGTAGGTTGATTATTTCCTTTCGTTTATTGATGATTTAATCGTTTTTTATTAGAACTCTTGAAATTTGTTTACCCATATCCCTTTCTAGGAAGATTTTAAACAGCTTATTTATATTTATCCGTTTTATTTTTATAGCCGTTCTAATTATGATTCGGACCTTAAATGATAAAGTCTCGGCGAAACTCATTTATCATTTTATTTACTCCTTAAAATGACATTTTAATGATTGAACACCAAACAAATCACTTTCTAACTTTTATATATATATAACTTTCTAACCTTCTATGATCCTGAAACGGAAAAAGAAAAGAATTTTCTGGACAACTGCATAGACAGAAGATTAATTACCAGTCCATGGGGACAAAATGGTCTAGCACCATTATCAACAACATCAGCGAGCCTTAAGAAGGCCTCCGAACCCATAAATCATGTATAAATAAAATAACCCACCAGTCCAAAAGGGGCAGCCATCTGGACTAGCCACCAGACATTGGTCTCACTTGGAGGCCCAATGTTTTTGTGTAAATAGAAAGCCTTTAACAGTTCCATACCCCGGCTGTCAAATGGAATTTCTTTTTTTCATAATTTAATTATTTATTCTCTATATTTTTAATTTTTTTTGTTTTAATTTTTATTTTTATTTTAAAAATAAAAAAAATTATACCTACTTATGTAAATTTAAATACTAATTTTCTTTTTAATATTTATAGATAATAGAATATTCTAATCAATTTTCATATTAACTAAAACTAAATTTACCATTTGTTGAGCTAAATCAGACTGATTTATTTTTTTGGACCAAATCAGTCTAATCTTAGTATTATTATAAACAAATTATAGCTAATTATTTATATATAATGAAAATTGAACTTTGTTAGGCCAAACCAAGGCAAATGATGCTACTGGATTATTCGATAATTTAATTCGTGGCTTTTAAACATGATGCAATAGAATATTTTATTGTTGATCGAAATGATGCAAGGGAATTGGATGCTACAAAATCTGACACAGATGTTTATTCGAGGATTGTTCTTTTTTTTTTTTAATGAAAATAAAATGGGTGGACCGTATGTTTTCTTTACTGGAATCTTCTCCCCTCTGGTTTCATCCAGAATTTTCTCTTTGGACTCCAGGCTGGGTCCCTAAACGCGTTCATCGTACGCGGGATCGTCCTCATCACAAACAGGAAACCCTAATCCAACCGTTCACGTCCATTGTTCTTTGATCCACTCCGTACACGTGTTAAGAACCCAACTCGAGAATTCCATCCGGCCACGTCGTACCGTAATAAATCTACCTCTGCGTTGCTATAAAAGCGACCGCTAGTTGTCTCAAATTTTCTCAACTGGGAATTCAGATAATCAGAGTATAATCTCGCTCAAAAAGAAAAAGAAAAAAATTTCTCCGTCTTTCAATTCTCTCGATCAAAAAGTAGATATATGGTTGAACTAGAACTCGAGATTCCTAGCGCTTTCGATCCATTTGCCGATGCCAAAGAGTCAGGTGGCGCAGGGGCCAAACAGTACGTGCACGTTCGTATACAGCAAAGGAATGGAAAGAAGAGCTTGACTACAGTTCAAGGTCTGCCTAAAGAGTTGAGCTACGAAAGGATCCTCAAGACTCTCAAGAAAGATTTCTGTTGTAATGGGAATGTTGTGCAGGACAAGGAGCTTGGCAAGGTCATTCAACTCCAAGGTGATCAGCGCAAGAACGTCCAGAATTTCCTTGTTAATCAGAACGTTGTGAAGAAGGACCAGATCAAGATTCATGGTTTTTGAATCCTGCAAAACCTTGTATGCTGAATGATTACTTATTATAATAAGAGCAATGGATGTTTTCTGTTTCAGCAATTATAATAATAATACTAAGACTTTCTTAAATTTCTGCGCCTTTTGTTTCTGTTTGAGCAATCTGTGATTTCTTCAGGACTATCAGCCCTGCTTTGGAATGTTTGTTGGAATTACGAGTTCTTAAAGAATTTTATTAATTAAGCGAAGAAATCATCAAGTGTTTCATCTGCCATAATTTTTTTCTTTTTTTCAGTGTATTGTCTATTTATCGAGTGAAAAAATGAAAATTAACATGTAAAATTATACTTCAAAATGCCTTGTTATGCACGCACGAGACCTTTATTTTTTATTTTTTTCAATTTATGTATAATATTAGGTTTTTCTTTAATTGAATTTTGTGTAGATATTTTTATACTATGGTCGTTACTTGAGGTTCAAACTCAAGAACGTTTCTCAACATGCTTTGGGCCCCAGAGTTATGTGATATTTTAATTGTGGCTCTCAAATTTTAGAACTTTGATCGCGACATCGGGGAAAAAATATAAGAATCATCTCGTTTCCAACCTTCACTGTTAAATAAGCCCTACTAAACTTTTTTTTCCAATTAGTCTCAGGTTATTTGAATTCCTATGTAGTTCAGGAACAAAATCAAAACCCAAAAGTTAGAAAGAAAAAAAAATTAAAAAGATGGGATGTTTTGTTGAAATCATAAGCCATTAAATAAGCAATTGAACTTCCCTTGTAAGATCAGTATTGGGATAGTGAGGTCCATCTAAGCCGACCTGGGCTTGGAGTTCTTGATAGTGGGGTGAAAGCCCGTTTCAAAATTCTTTCTAATGTTCAGATAGCCTACGGAATTTGAGTAAGAACGGTGTTGGGCTAGTAAGGCCCATCAAGCCCGACCTGGGCTTGGAGTTGTTGATTTTCTTGCATTACTTTTTGGCAAGTGGGTGAAAGCCCATTTTAAAATTCTTTCTCTATGAAATTTACGAAGACAGACTCTTTATTTATGTTTTTAGCAAAAGACGGTAAATGAATGTGTTTGTTTTAAAACCACAAGAAAATCTAGCCAATTAAATTTGAAATATGATTGTGACCGAGACATTATATAATACTAGTCAACAGCATATTTTTTCATTAAAAACATTTCAAAATTTTTCAACATGGTCAAGTATATAACTATTTAATGTTAGTTTACTTGCATAATCATATAATAATAAATATTTTCTTTCATATTAATTTTTTTAATTCATTTATATATTTATTAGATTTTAGAGTACAAAATATAAATAATAATTTTTTATTATATAATAATTAAATAAATACATAATTGTTAAACCAATATTAAGGTTTTTGTCAATCATATTTTGTTTTAACATCTATGGAACTGTCATGTCATTATTGCTCCTATTCTTTAGTGATTTGGTAATTTCAGATTTATAGTATTAGATCATGTAATTAGAATTTTAAAAAATTAAAAAATGGATAAATGTGATTCAAATGATCCAATCTCTAATATGTATAATGGCTAACTCGGATTAACCATTACTTAAAATGTTAAAACGACATTATTTTATAAATTATATAACAAAATATTTTTATAATATTTTATTAAAAAATCAAAATTAAGGAGTTAAAAATATTTATAAAATATTTTTTTATATATAATTTATAAAATATTATATAATATTTTATAGGAAAAAAAGTTCAAGATCGTGAAGGTTAAAAATATTTTTTAAATGTTTTTTGGAAAAAAACATAATCAATAGCGAAATGTGACATTTTGGCATTCCAATTAACAATAAATTTAATTGATCGTTACACATAACAGATATTGGACAATTTAGATCACACTTTTTTAATTTTTAATAATTTCGTGTTCAAATTATACAATTTAGTATTATAGATCTAAAATTATAAAATCATAATAAAATGGTGACAAAATTTACCGTTAAACCTGTATTAAACTATACAATGAAAAAGGACTTTTTTTATCCATTAATTAGTCCCTGGCTCTTACCTTTTTCCGAATTTCAAAGAATAGCTGCTAGGTTTGATGTCTTCTTTAAAATCATGAAAAAAATACTGATGAAATGTTTGGCTGCTTCGCAAGTGTTTAAGGTTCATTGTTAGATAAATAAAAGGAAGCACAAATGTCCTAGAATTTTATATTTAAATCGTGATTGCAATGCATTCAATCACTTCGAAGAATAAATCCTGAAAATAAATACTCACAAATGCATGCATTTTATAAGTTAAAACGTACTAAAGTCCTTATCCTAACCATTGTGCTTTAATAAAAAAATTAATTTCTTTTTATAGACAATCAAATAATTAATAATTAATAGCACGTGGTGATAATTTATGAAAAAATTGGAAATCATTTTTTATTTGAATAACAAAAAAAACTTTCACCAAATGATCGATCAAATACAATAATATCCCTTATCATGAATATGTAAATGAAGATAAAAAATAAAAAATAAATAAATAATAAATTAAACATTACGTAACTCAATATTGTCAATTTAAAGGCAAAATCATTTGGGAGTGAAAGAATATAATCTCCAATGGTCTGGAATGCTTTCAATTTAATCAGTAAAATCACTTGGTCGTATGTGAAAACAATTTGAGATTTGGTCCCATTTATACCACAAATGAGAAAAATAAAAAAATAAAAACCATATTCTACTAAACAATGCAAAATTCCATCTACTCTAATAAATTATCCTATTTTATATCGTTTTCCGAATAAGATCAATAATTATAATTGGCATGCCCATATAATTTATTAATCAAATTCATTCATCAACGATTAATTAATATGTCTTGATTATAATTATTATATCTCGTGGCCTATAAGAAAAAACCTCGTCATTTGCAGCAAGCTTTGGCAGACCCATGATGAACATGGTTTCATTGCACCATATTCAAATCTTTCTTTAGAAAAACTGGTTTAGGAAAGCAAACCAGAGCTAGGTTGGATCTTCTTCTTCTTCGTAAAGTCTTTTTCGTTATGGTCGGGATAGAGAATATAGATCATAAGCTCTTGATCTCTTATCTTATTATCGAGTTAACAGAATTAATTTAATTTTTAAAAGATTAAAGAATTTGTAGCTAATTATTGTTTTTTATAGTAAAAGGTCACCGATTCAAATTATAATTAATTAATTCTGTTAAAAATTTTAAATATGAGAATTAAAAATAAATAAATAAATAAATAATCTAAAAAAAGAATATTAGAAGATTCCAAAACCAATCATAAAAGATAGAGATATTTACAATGGATCCCAAATGATCGTGGTCCAAGTCAAGTCAAAAGTATGATTAAATTATAAATCAGTCTCTTTGGTTTTAAAAAATGATTTAATCAGTCTCTTTATTTTAAAAACTAATAGTTTGGTTTTCAATATTTTAATTCTTCTTTTTATCAGTTTTTCATTAAATTAACGATAAGATATTTTATTATAATATTTTTATTTTTAAATTATTCTTTTTTATACTTTATTTCTTTCTTTCACCTATTTCCTTCCTCCTTATTCAACCATCAACTGATTGAAAATTTGAAAAATGATGATTTCTGTTTCAATTTTTCAATCAATTGATTGTTGAAAAGAGAGAAAGGTCACTGTAATAATTGATAAGAGAGAAAATGATTGAAAAATTGAACAAAAAAAGTTTTTATAATAGCTGAAGTTAGAAAAAAATGGATTATTGAGAAAAATAAAGCATAAAAAATGATTTAAGAATAAAAAATACTAGAGTACAACACTCCTTCACTAATCTAAGAAAAACTAGTAAAAAGACTAAGTTATTAATATAATTAAAACATATGAGACTAAATTATTATTTTTAAAAAGAAAGAGACCAATTAATATGTGTCTTTAAACACGAGGGACTGAGTTATAATTTACTCGTCAAAGTATCAACTAGTCCAGAAAAAGAAAATCTAACTTTTGCAATTCTTAACCAGCAGGGAAGCACTAACCAATAATAATTAAAAAAAGAAAAAAGAAAAAAGAAAAAAGAATTGCTAATAAATTATACGTGGCTCTAGAAACCGCGACTTTCAGTACAGAGAGAAAGAAAAGGTGGCGGTTTCGGGATTCTCAGATGAGAACTTTGGCATCATCAGCAATATAGAAATTTCAACAAAGGATGCCTAAACAGACGGCAACTTTCACCAAACTCAATATCTCTCAGATATCTTATCCGTTTAAGATTTTTCCTTGTAACTTGTTCGACATTTAACCAAATCTCTTCATCTATTTTAGTTCCAAAAACGGATAGGTAAAAAAGAAAAAGATAGATTCCTTGTTGCCCATCTGTAGTTAAAAACCTGAACAGGTACATATGTTGCTGTATTAGATTTTTCATGGGATTTGAGAAAGATTTGAACTTTATGTTGTGTTTGATTGAATTGGTGATAGGTTTTGTTTTTTTCTAGGGTTTTTGATCGGATTAATGTTATCAGGGGTTTGAGGGAAATGAATTTGGTTTTTTGTTTTAGTAAAGTTACGTTCCTTTTGCTGTTTTGTTGATGTATCTGAATGTTTGTCGATTGGATTTGATGATAGATAGTTGTCTAATGATGTTTTCTTTAAAGGGTTAGCAGCAAAATGGTAGTTCTTGATGTTGGAAATTTGAAGTTTGGATTCAAAGTAGGGAATTAGGTTAGCAGCATAATTGTAAGCGTAGTTTTTTATGTTGAAGACCGGAGGTTTTGATTTGATTACCGAGAGCAGGAAAGTGGGTTGGCAGTAAAATTCCTAAGGACATGCGAAGCTGAGACATTAAACAAGCATTTTGTGTAGGATATGGAAAGTTTTGATTTTTAATTAGTGAAAATTTGGAAGTTATTTTTATAGTGAATTTGATTAGATTTTGCATCTGACTGTGACTAATTTTACAGGTGGCCATTAGAAAGATTTGTGGAAGTACATAGAGAAAGGCAGTTGTGCTTCTTCAAGAGATTTAATTACTTTTGA